AGAGCACAATGCATACTTGTTAACGAGAAATCGAATGGACGGCATTGATCGAAATCGTATCCAACATTAAAGAGAGAAAATGAAAGAAAACAAGAAGAAAAAATAAGAAAAATACATATTATTTTCGTTTTTAAAAAGTTTCCAGCTCCCCGGACCAAATCAATGGTACTTGGTCGTTAGCAAGTTGATGGTGTTAATACAATAATACAAACATTATTTTGCCAATTGTTCAAGGGTAACTCAATCAATAACACGTAAATGGACAATAATGTTGTTTTAGTGATATCTAAACGGGTACTGAGCACTGCATGCAACATATACTGATGAAAATTGAACACATACCTGCCGGTAAACAGGTGTTCAAATTTATAGTCACAATATACTGTTATAAACTCATAATAAACACAATTAAATTGTAAAAAAAAAAGAAGGGCAGCAAAATAACTACAATATCACAGACAGAGAATTAAAGCTAGCATGTAACTGTAAAATTCGACAAACTTTTAGAGACAATACAATATAAAACGGGCTGGAGATCACCAGCAACTGAAGGTTGATCACCATACTAGGGACCATGGAGCTTACAGTACCTTTGCTGCTTACATGGACCCTAGCGAGGTAAGTCAAATAAAGGAACATAGACCAGTTTTCTGTTTTGGCATTAGATGCACCTGATATATGGCACTAAGCGTAAGTGTCTGCTGATTGAAATCAACCTAGCCACAATGTCTAGCAACCAGCTCCATTTTAACCGTCTTCTACAAAGAAACCCGTATTATCATTAAGGTGTAGGGAGCACACTTGGCATCACTACGGGGGATCCTAGGTGTTGTGTAATTATGAGCTGATTGGCATGGAAGAACACACATTTGGTAAATAAACGTTGACACGAGTCCCAAGACCAATATCAAACTTAAGGAATACCTTACGATAAAGTGGCCCACCTTTAGGGAAAAGCCGTTTAAAATATTGAATACTGATGCCTACTTCTCTTGCCTCTGAAAGACAGAGCAGGCTAATAAATATTAAATCGTGGTGTACAGCTCCCATTTCGTACTCAGAGTATGAACTGTTATATACTTCCCTTCAAAAGTTTAGACTCACTGGTGTCAATATAGCCACTTACTTCATGTTCACCGGATGCCGCTATTCTACAGCACTGTTATGGACATGTTCACCGGATGCCGCTATTCTACAGCACTGTTATGGACATGTTCACCGGATGCCGCTATTCTACAGCACTGTTATGGACATGTTCACCGGATGCCGCTATTTCTACAGCACTGTTATGGACATGTTCACCGGATGCCGCTATTCTACAGCACTGTTATGGACATGTTCACCGGATGCCGGATGCCGCTATTCTACAGCACTGTTATGGACATGTTCACCGGATGCCGCTATTCTACAGCACTGTTATGGACATGTTCACCGGATGCCGCTATTCTACAGCAGTGTTATGGACATGTTCACCGGATGCCGCTATTCTACAGCACTGTTATGGACATGTTCACCGGATGCCGCTATTCTACAGCACTGTTATGGACATGTTCACCGGATGCCGCTATTCTACAGCACTGTTATGGACATGTTCACCGGATGCCGCTATTCTACAGCACTGTTATGGACATGTTCACCGGATGCCGCTATTCTACAGCACTGTTATGGACATGTTCACCGGATGCCGCTATTCTACAGCACTGTTATGGACATGTTCACCGGATGCCGCTATTCTACAGCACTGTTATGGACATGTTCACCGGATGCCGCTATTCTACAGCAGTGTTATGGACATGTTCACCGGATGCCGCTATTCTACAGCACTGTTATGGACATGTTCACCGGATGCCGCTATTCTACAGCACTGTTATGGACATGTTCACCGGATGCCGCTATTCTACAGCACTGTTATGGACATGTTCACCGGATGCCGCTATTCTACAGCACTGTTATGGACATGTTCACCGGATGCCGCTATTCTACAGCACTGTTATGGACATGTTCACCGGATGCCGCTATTCTACAGCACTGACATGTTATGGACATGTTCACCGGATGCCAGATGCTATTCTACAGCACCGGATGTTATGGACATGTTCACCGGATGCCGCTATTCTACAGCACTGTTATGGACATGTTCACCGGATGCCGCTATTCTACAGCACTGTTATGGACATGTTCACCGGATGCCGCTATTCTACAGCACTGTTATGGACATGTTCACCGGATGCCGCTATTCTACAGCACTGTTATGGACATGTTCACCGGATGCCGCTATTCTACAGCACTGTTATGGACATGTTCACCGGATGCCGCTATTCTACAGCACTGTTATGGACATGTTCACCGGATGCCGCTATTCTACAGCACTGTTATGGACATGTTCACCGGATGCCGCTATTCTACAGCACTGTTATGGACATGTTCACCGGATGCCGCTATTCTACAGCACTGTTATGGACATGTTTCACCGGATGCCGCTATTCTACTGCAGCACTGTTATGGACATGTTCACCGGATGCCGCTATTCTACAGCACTGTTATGGACATGTTCACCGGATGCCGCTATTCTACAGCACTGTTATGGACATGTTCACCGGATGCCGCTATTCTACAGCACTGTTATGGACATGTTCACCGGATGCCGCTATTCTACAGCACTGTTATGGACATGTTCACCGGATGCCGCTATTCTACAGCACTGTTATGGACATGTTCACCGGATGCCGCTATTCTACAGCACTGTTATGGACATGTTCACCGGATGCCGCTATTCTACAGCACTGTTATGGACATGTTCACCGGATGCAGCACTGTTATGGACTATGCCGCTATTCTACAGCACTGTTATGGACATGTTCACCGGATGCCGCTATTCTACAGCACTGTTATGGACATGTTCACCGGATGCCGCTATTCTACACTGTGCAGGTGCCATTTTCAAATATGGTCATGCATGTGTTATCACTCGACAATGGAACAATTAGGTCATCACAATGCGTGTTTATCAAAAAGCGTGTGAGTTATCAAATTGCTGCTGTTCGATCGACCCTGAACATCACTCGTAGCCTTGAACTGATTGACGTATATAACGTCACGCTTTCAGGGTATCGTCCCTCGGTAGTGTAATAGATGAGGCATTCTGTACGAGATGACATCGCATACACGAGGCAATGCCCTTTGGAAGGACGTCATTGCAGCATCATATTTGAACGACAACAGTGCCCACCTGGACGTCGCTGCGTATGATTATACGTTCAGGTTGACTGTTGGCCTGTCTCTCCGGGAAAGGCGGGAAAGCAACACCATCTATCTCCATCTGAAGAGAAAAGGTTTAAAGAGCATCAACAACAGCATGAGTGACATTTGTCTGTTAACTGTTATTATCACAATTTTTCTGTTTAGTACTTTGTAAAATATATCTGTATTGTGATAGATTGTGTATAGTTACTTTATGAAAGAAATATTCCACCCGGGGATCAAAGTTTGGATGAGTGTTGGAACTACTAATGCAAGCCGAGCCTGGGGCCACGATGATGCGATGTTGAAATATTAAACTGCGTAGCATATGAAAGTATGTCTCACAGCTGGTTTTATCGTATGTTTGATGTTCACTTGAAAACGTCGTTAGGTTAGCGATATCATATCCTATATTTATTTAACTTAGGATACTTCTACATTGGTGTAAGTAATACATTAGATATGATTTGATCTAAAAAATTACAATTAAAGAAGATTTTCGTAGGATACAATATTGTTGATGAGTTTTGAAATGTTCATTAATTAATGAATTTGGCTTCGCCTCTTGTACAATTCATGGTAGCATTCATGAGTTTGGAAATTAATTTCTTCCAGTCGTTATCGAATCGATGTATTTTTACTCAAAGTTAAAACTGTTGCAGGGCTTAGTGATGGTTTTATAATAATCCAACAATAACTAAAGAACCGAAACCGGACCAGGCGAAGTAGTGGTTAATACTATGAGCAAAACCCAAAGCGACGCAGTCAACAATGGTTGGTGACCCGATGGAATTTACGACAGGCCGTTAAGTGTCAGTCTAAGCCGGATTCATACATGAGTCCACCTACCGTGTAAACCCTTTCCTTGAGTTGGACTTTAATGTTAAATTCCGTGTTGGCCGTAACAGTCATATGTGACACATTCAATGCAGTGCCCCATTTCCCGAAAAGTGTACTGTAAGAGATTGAGTTTGTGTCGACTTTAAAGCTCACATGGAATGTAGCATTTGTGCCTCCATCGGATCGAACTGATATCTCCATTCTGAAATAACAAGAATGATTATCTGCATTTTGAAATAAACCATCGGGAATTTTTGTGGAACAAATTAATTGCTAATAAAGTCGGTAAAATGAAGATAGTTACATCCTGGATGGATTTCTTATAAATAATCAATTGAAAGGTATTCCAACAAGCACAATGAAATGTAATGAGTCATTTTCCATTCATCCCGCAAGACAAACGTGCTCTTCGATACACCAGCAGTTATAATCAACCTACCATTTAACACGACTGCAGTCGACCTTGCAGTTTACCTGACACTACAACATTTCTATCACTGCTTATTATTAATAATAATGATAATAAATGAATAGTTATAATTATATTAGTAAACAACTAACTTGTCAATCAATGTAACCGCTTTCGTCTTGTTGAAGCCACAAAATATGAGAATCATGGGACATCTGGGCTTTACACTTGAAAGTACAGGCCAAAAGATTGATGAAGCATCTCTTTCCTTTACCGTGTAGGAGAATCGGGAAAACAACACGACCAGCGGATCTAAGTACGACTAAGGGGCGTAACTTTGTAAAGTCCTCTAGGCGGTGTTTCAGCAAGAACTTGAAGTCTCCTAATGCCTCTATAAGAAGGATATAATGACCAAGTATTGGAATGTCAATGTAAGATATACCAAGTATCACTGATACGTTAATGCTGAATGTCTCACCACATGATGTTGATATTAATACACCCGCAATTCCTCTCACCCGTGAGCATTCCTTTGATAGTCGCAGTGAAGTGACTTGTTTGGCCACAGGGGAAATGTACCACTCCCTGAAGGATAATATAAAATAATCTTGAATCAAATGCAGCAAGGTGAGTGAGTGAATGTGTGGATTGCCTGAGTTGACTCGCCATGACTAATCAGTTTTGAAATTTATTATAGCGTGTCAGTTTCATGTGGGAAGCAACATGTCACGGAAGTCTAATACTGACGAGCATGGGCATTTGTTCCGGCCTATATATGGCTGTATAGACAACGCCATAAACCCAACATATGAACGCTCCAGGGGAAGCCAAAAACATCATCGTCACACAGTCACGACTTATTAATTACATCTGTGCACGTTGTTAACTTCCAAAACAGGTTTTGCAAATGTCACTTGAATATGTGATCAACATAATGCAAATCCCGTAGAGCAGACCACATGCTCGTCTCGTTCTGTGTGCGTTCTTAGTTGATAATTCAATCACAGCGATGTTCTTTAACAGTACTCGTACGACCATGCCTTTTACAGAACGTCTTTCCCGTCCATACCACTCTTCTTAGTCCCACGGTCTACATGCTCACAAGTAGACTATCCCTGAAGCACAAGCTTTAACAATATCGGCAGGGAAATAGCGAGAACATCAACGTCAATTCCAAATAGTTTTAAATCAAGTGAAAAGTATTTCAATTTGCCCAATATTCTGAAGGCCAGGATACCACATTTGAAGATGTGCGCCTAAATGGGGATTCTGATTGTATCACATGACACATGCGACTTGCTTGTCAAGAGGATCTGCAGTGTCAGGAGAAACGGTTGGCAAAGGGACAAAAGCATTTCCCTTGGACAGTCTGCAGCCGTCGATGCTCCCTTATGTCACGTGTGTGGCTACATCAACCAGGTCCTAAGAGCAAAAGGATCGTCTCCAAGGATGGAGTATATCACGTTTTGTCATTTGAACGGGTTCTGGTTCAGGAAAACCAATGCTGTCATCTTTCCTTTAATTCTGAAATGTTGTGGATATGAAATCAGACCTACACCTATCGCCTCCATCATTTACATAGATGAGTTTGTAGTCAGAATTGACAATTGCAGTTAAGACAGTGGAATAGAATCTTTTCTAGTTGTCATAGGTGGAACCACTGCCCCCACACAAGCAGCGTGTTTACCATCAAGGACTCCACACTCTACCAGATGCACCATATACGAACATTCGTCAGGGATCACTGGACAACTTATGACCTCCTCAACATACTCATGTGTGACTGCCAGGCTGACTTCTCATATGGAGATGCATTTGTGAACGCTGAAGCCAACCTTCAAACTTGTATTCTCATCTTCAAATGCTAGGTGGCGCAGAGTGACAGCCATCTCCACTCCAGATTCCAGAGACTTGCTAAACTATTCGAACTAAATAAATCCCATAAAAATAAAAACAAAACGTTTGAAATTAAACATAGTGTCACGTATCACGCGTGGCACGTGCGCTTTGTGCACACTGAACTACTCACTTTTGCATGCTTTTGACACCTGAAGTTCACACTTAATTTAATTTGCTGCGGACATGGCGTCACGTCAGCAAGACAACCACATTCGGTTGACCCATCTAAGGAATCGATTTCACACTGCCAGTTTGACAGCTCGGGCCATTCCTGGCTTACGTCATATCAGTTCCAGGAATGTACAGAACCAACTGTAAGGGAACACAACATCCGTCCAATTCTGCTCCAACGTCATCCACAGGCACGCCTTCCCTGGTGCAAACAGCACCTACGGTGCAGGAGACAAGATTGGGATGATGTTTTGTTCACTGACGAGACGAGATTTTATCAGGACACCTCAGATGGCAGAGCAGTGCTGTACTGACAGCGAGGTGACACTGTATGCTGGCGCATGCGTTGTTCATCATCGATAGTTTGGTGGCGGACATTGTTATGAGGGTATAGGGAGGCATCGAATCTCATGGTCGGTCACATCTTGTCATTGACATTGACAATCTAACAGGTCTTCGATACAGGGATGGGATCTGCAGCCATTCATTCCAAGGACAGAGACGGAACCTCATGCTTCAGCATGTTAATGCCCGTCCACATGCTGCTCGTGTTGTGACAGATGTCTTGAGACGGCAGAACATTCCGGTCATCCCTGGCCAGCTGTTTCCTCGGACCTGTCCCCTGTCAAGCACGCTTGGGATGAAATGGACCGACGTTACGTCAAGACCAGAATCAGCCATTGACGTTATCTGAATTGGGAAAAACTTTGGCTCAGACATGGAACGACATTCCCCAAGATTTCTTCAATCGCTTTGTGTCGTCTATGCATCTTCGTTGCCTAGCCTGCGTCAATGCCAATGGTGGACACACCCGATACTGAGTTTGTGAGCTGACTTTTGACACCACATCTTTTCAAGGGCGTGTGACGGCACGGTTACTTTCTTCCAGTAGTAATTGTATCGTTCTTGGTTATTCTTGGGCCAACTCTGGCAAGGTGCTCATCATACATCTCTGGTGGTGTTCTCTCTGGAAGGTGACAAAGAATGGAGCGTCTTCCGGACGTAGTTCAGACATAGGGCTCCAGCTTAACCCTCCACTGTAACACGGCCATATCAAGTGTCTTCTCCAACGTTTGTCTCTTCCCTCTAACTTGGGCAATGACAGGGTCATTTTCTGAATCATCTGAATTTTTTCGTGCTCAATTCTGTAACACTTTCAATCTCTCAGCAGCAGCAGCCATGGTTGGACAGGCTGATTAGCTGAACTTCAGACAAACTACATGGTCATACAGGCATCTCAGTGCGGGTAGACTCAGTGAGAACTTGGCTAGGACGGCTGCGGACCGGACAAGACGGGAAATATCCATACATGAAGGTCTCACACTGATGCTGCAGACTGCCGGTACATCCTTGAGAAGAACATGTTGTACAAAAACATATGTACAAAACAATCGGCGAAGTTTGTCGTTGTGTCAGGACCTGTGGTGGTATGTAAAGTTCCCAACATGTCCCTAATATGAGCTCCACGTAGATAGATTCATAGTCGATTGAGTCAAGATCTCGACCCGGCTTGCGAAATGGGGTAGTGGATCTACCTGGTCAACATCTCTCACACAGTCCCGGCCTAAGAGATTCTCATACATTCTGACATTTTACGAGGAAACTGCACTGGGTTAAAACACAAACGAACACCGTATGTGTTTTTTTTCTGTCCATGTAGAGTTTTCGTATCTTAATGAGAAGTACATCATACAGCAGCATGTTTTTACTGAACACAAACTGTAATGTTGCTTTATATATTGATGTATTTAGAGTTTTTTTGTACAGTTTGGGGAAAAGGTAATGATGTCACTGTTCAAAACAAAATAATTTTCCTATAATTATATTGGGTATGTTTACTCGGTAGTGTGTCAAGAAAACATATCACATCACGACACAAAGTTAACAACTAAGGAAACCAAGAAAATATATCAATTTTTTTCCATGAAATCTGTTTACAATGGGCATTATCGGCTCAGACCCATATCGTGTTATACTTATACGATGGGGTAAGTAAGTATAAGGTTCATATCGTTGTTGAAACATTATATTGCGCACCTGGTTTTGGAATCTGAAACGTCCACAGAGGTCGGTCAGCTCCTCCCACCTGCCCGTCGATGACTGGCACACGCTTGTGGTGTTCTTGTGACACGACAGGAAGTCGTCTGCGCAGGTGTACTTAGCCTCGGCTCCTATGTAGTGGCCATCATACACCACTTCGCTGTTTGGTATCAATGGAGGCGGAGAGCCACAACCTGGGAATTCTGCATTGAAAGGAGGACTCTAATTGTTGCACAACATACAGCTTGACATACTGTTATGTTATATAAGGCCTTTTTGACTGCCATGGAAAATGAAATAATTATGTCATCAAGGATAGGACGTATGGTTAGCATGTGGCGTTATATCAATGACAGTGCCATAACTATTCTTGGTTGATTAAGATAATGCAGCGATAATATATCAGTACTCCGAATAATTATTTTTTACATATAATTAATTTATTCTTATTCATAATGCCTGCGAAGATCCGGGTTAGAATCGGTCTTGAGCCACGTAAGAAGCCGCTATGCTGGTCGTTACAGAATGCTTAGTGGATCGGGAGGTCAGACCCACAGACAGGTTGGTACATGTCATCATATACCTATGGCACAGATCGATGTTCAGTCGCTGATTCCTTACAAAGTATCGTCACACATCTGGAATATTACCGTGTGCGCATTAAGCAACAAGGAAATCGTCTAATATTTGTGATCATCCTGTCAAATATTATTTCTCAGCAATGTCATCTGTGCCACCTGTGCATTGTGTTTCTTCATACTGTGGCGAACTAACCTGGATGACAAGCTGGACGGTCCAGTCTGTTTACTTTACATCGGTATCCAGGCTGACACTGGAGCTGTGCACATGGACCAGAGAGAGTCTGTATAAACATGATCAAGATATCACATTAACAATCGATGACAAGTAAGTATAAAACCTAAACAGCTAACGGACCGACCACTTTACATTTGGGGATGGGTGGTGGGAGCTTTGTTGCTGAAAGTACATTAAAACATGACTTGTTCTCAATATCCTGGCAAAATTAACTGTGCATCAGAATGTCACGAAAGAAAGGTTAAAGTCACAGAAACATCGTTGCAAGGCGTTTCCCTTTTCACAAATACATTTAGGTTCATGTTTTTATCAACAAAGAATAAAGTTGTTCAGCTGTAGCTAAAAATATCTAGTTTCCACACAAAATACATCTCCCGCCCACCACATACCATGTTAACAGGAATGACTAGGAAACCGTGCTCCAAATTGACAAGGTTCACTTCCCTTTGTCTCGAGGGTATTTCATACAATACCGTTTGGTCTACGTGACAACACAGTACAAATTGTATTTCGGATTAATAGCTAAAGTTACGAAGGGTAGAAACCTAGATTTTTAGTAATGCGCTCAATAATACCTTGTTTAAGTGGCTTCTAGATGCTGATATGATGAAGAGGAACACCATCCTGATTATCGTTTACGCGGTACATCATTTCCTTGACAACGGTGTTAGGATGTATACCGAAACGTCGCATCTATTGCAATGAAGCTGTCTATCCATGCAAAAGTGTTCCTCGCTCAATGATATACAGCTATTGTTTGAAATACTGTCGTTTGTGAAATCTGAATTTGATTTTCATGCTGTAAAACATATTGCAGACAGATCTCCAGTGTGTATTCAAATGGGTATAACTTGACATTTAGCATCAGAATTTAGATAGCACCACCACAATTATGCCACAACAATTATCACCTCAGCAAGCTAAGATTGCACGTGTATAACAGTGAGTGAGTTTAGGTTTACGCTGCTTTTAGCAATATTCCAACAATATCACGGCGGGAGACACCAGAAATGGGCTTCACACATTGTGCCCATGTGAGGAATGGGCGTGACGAGCGAACACTTTACCCACTAGGCTACCCCACCATCCGCGCGGGCGTATCACAGCCATTCCTCGTTTCCACTCTACACCAGCGATAGGCACAAAACACACCTTTTCGCGAACGTGAAACTAGTTTATAGTCATTGAAAAATGCATGCTCATGATAAAGTCAAAATCGTTCACTGGATCGTATATCTTTAATGCCCCTGCTATCTATATCACCTAGCCTTTTCCTTTTGTGTACAGTGTTTTCCACATAAAATGGTGGTTGTGTCATGGAATGGCACTGTTTCTCTAAGAACCCTATATCTGTTCCTGTTTACGTTCTTGAATCTTCATTGAAAATGTCACTTCCAATAACATAAATATGTTTCAGGGTTTGGTAGTGCTGGCTTCAAGAGCCCATACCTATTCCTGTTTTCGATTCACATCAACAGTTCCTATAAGAATGATTGCCTTTTTAGGTGAGATAAAGAATGTATGTTTTCGAATAGTTTATGATGGATGTATTAAGGTGTGTATATTAAATAGCACCCATTTACGTGTACACACCAATAGCACCCCCTGTACTAACCTTGAGTAGAGGTCATAACAATGATTAGTAGATGATGGCACACGGTACCTGCACCTTAACACTTACTGTATGACATGTTATTTCAATCGCACCTTGAAGGTCAAATTATACAAAAACATAGATCTATTGAACTCACAGAAGGCCACAAGTCAATGTCACTGAAGACATAGTCTTGTAAAGAGACGACGTTGGTGTGGTAGCTGTTGTTGCTGTTGAGTTGGCAGGATCGTGTCACCAGATCGAAGTTAAATGACTTGCAGGTTGAAGATCTGAGACACTCTGAAGAACAGCCATATACAGTGGAAGGCTGCATGAAGTCAAATATATAACCCGTCATGGCGATATCTTGCTCCAGTGAGGAATCCATGTCAAAGCAGGTGCTACATGTTACAGGGTACTTCATACCTAGGACAGCCAAGCACAGAACTGCGAGGTCCATCTTCCTTGCTGTGTCACAATGCATGTCTTCTCCTACAGTGTACAGTTGACTTCCAGCGTCTTGATAATGTATCTTCGTCTCCTGAGAATTACAACAAAAGACATCTATTTCTCATGCTCATCGTTACGGTTTGGTTAGTTAGAATAAAGATGAAACACCTTATGTCCAGCAATGCAACCGTCACTTTGCGTGTTACTTGAATAACCTCTCCCTGAATAGTTGACTTTCAGCGTCTTGATACTATCTAAGTCTCCTGAGAATTAGATAAAAATACCTCTATCAGTGATGGAAAGAAGTTACGGTTTGGTTAGCGTGGAATGTAGAAAGAAGATGAAAATCCTCATGTCCTGCAAGGCGAGTGTCACTTGAAAACGGGCGTGTCACTATGTTGCTAACACTGGTACACGTTTGCTATTTCATGAAGGCTGTGACATTCCGTGAACATCAGTTGAAATTCTCTCATTTGCATCCTGGCGATACATTGCTCCACGTGACTTGCAATATATGAACCACGTGATAAGACACAAACGCCCACTTTTCACGTAAGCAACACGGCTTAGCATTCGCTGTCTCTTCTGATTACCTGGGTATTGATTTATTAATGCATGGCGATAAGAAGTGCAACAACAAACATCTATTTTTCACCGACAGTCTAATACTGTGACGCGTTCGGCCTCTTACCAGATGTATTTACCACCTTCAAATAATCGAATAATGGCAGACAAAACAGCGGTAACGATCAACGGTCCATGCACAGGGGTATGGTGACAGCTAGGTAAAACACTGGGATCACCTGAACCCTTCCAGAACACAAGGCCCGATGTAACGTTTAACCATACGCCTGCAGACACGTGTCCTGCCAACAGCTCAGTGAGGAAGGAAACGTGACTCATGGGTGAACAGAACTCTTCTCCACTCACCTGCTCCCTATCGCACATGTTGTCTGCTCCATTAGAGATGTCCACGTAGATGTTGTGGCTTCAGAATTGACTGTCGGGTTTGAGAATTTTACACGGATGCCATAGGCGCGTAGACGTTATAGAAGTGATCCCGAAGATACAGCTCTATTGCCAGGTATGGCATGGAACATGTGTTGTTTACTCGTAACATATGTTATATTTGGGATTACACTTTCTTAGTAAAGTACAGATTCTAGTACTTTTGTTGGGTGGAGTCCCATCCGGGATTCGAACCCACACCCTCAGAGTCAGACATCTAATCGCCAGCACACAAAGTCAGCCGCCTAGCCCGCTCAGCCAACGCGACTTCCACAAAAATGAAAATCGGACAACTGGTAGTACTTCTACACTGCGGACTTTGTGTGCCATTCTGATAAGTGTAAATTGGCACAGCTCCCACGACCGAAAGCTATGATTACACAATGCCATTTAGAAAGTGGTCAAACGTAACATATGTTATATTTGGGATTACACTTTCTTAGTAAAGAGGGGTCACTTTTTATTAAACGTTTTTCCTGTACTTGTGTATTCCTGTATTTTAAACTTTACATCAGTTGCCTGTCAGAGCCAGGATAGAATATAAAATCCTAAGTCTAGTCAACACACTCCAATAAGTGACAGGTACATGATATGCTCTTATATCATGGCTTATTCAAAGACGACTGAATTAATTATATTATTAATATGTTTGATAATTAAAACTAATCTTGTACTTGTGTGAATGGTGAGTGAAGGATTGTCTTGTTTCGTAAAAAATTCCACCTGTATCCCATTACATTACTGTATATCTTCAGACTGATCTGTCCCCTGGTTGCTTTGTTTTGAGTGTAACAGGGATTCAGAAATAAAATTTAAATTAAAAAACCAAAAAGTGACAGGTTGTGCATTACAGAACACAAAGCATACTTGTTAACCATAAATGGATTGCGAACGTTACCAAGACGACGTCGATTGAAATAATATCCAACATAAACGAGAGCAAATTACAGAAACAAAGAAGAAATATACATATTATTAGTGCATTGAAAACATTTCCAGCCTTTGGGACACGCCATTTCCGTCATGGCGACTTGGCCGTTAGCAAGTTGATAGTGTTAACATAATACAAATATTATTTGCCTATTGTTCAGGGGTCACCCACTCAATAACGTAAATGGACAATAATGTTGTTTAAGTGATATCACACTTCCATGTGTTCCTACAGATAAGCCACTTTAGGTACAAAAGGACCAATATTCTTTATATATAAAGCATAAACTGATAAACTGATATGAAGACGTTAAGATATCAGCTGTTTATAGTTTTAATCACTTTACCTGGAAACAAGTGAACATGATACATAAGTGGGTCAAGATAGTACAAACTACATATGAAAAGAAGAAAGTATAATGTATATCGTATTGGGAATATGGATTAAACAACTGAAATTCAACACAGTAATACAGAGAATGTGAAAGATTAAAACCTAAATTAAAAGACATCATCTAGACCATTCCATTTTCTGTAAAAATGTTTCATATTGTCGTCTTTTACTAAACGTCCTTCAAAAGAAAGTAGTTTTGTTGTAATTGTAATAATGTGCTCTAACACAGGGCTTTACAGGACGCGTAATTCCTGCGTAGTTGACACTGTGTATGATATGCTCAGTGACATTTGAGTACAGATTTTGAATGATTTTGGCTACCATATCCCATCACCTATATGGTTCTAAAGAGTCGGCAGCCTGGACATCTCACTTTATCAAACGCTTTTTCAAATACAATAAATCCTACATCCTACATTCTGTGAACATCCGACCCTTTTTCTTCCAACCGTGTTTTCCAATAACAGAGTTTAATACAAATACATTATTGATTATCTATTGTTGAATAATCATGTCTGAAGCCTGCCTCCGGTGCTACATTTAGAGTCAAATATCTTCAAGTTTTTAAATCAATTTAACAGCAGTGGTATATGCACATCAGTGCCATGTATAAATAATTCTGCGATCGGCCTTTCCTGACCAGGCGATGTATTCCTTTTCGTCGAATTAATATCATTTCCAGTTATCTCACTGTTCAAAATCAGATTAGAAAAAATATGTTTCCTTCGCTTTTAAGTTTTATAGCCTTTGGTGTCATAATGGTTCCAGAACGAACGTCTCTTCCTTCATCTTCAACCCGTTCAGTGACGTAGTCTGCAAACCTCAACAAAGCTGGATTATGTAGGTCAGCGTCATCCAAGGCGTTCACCCACACATCATCTATGTCACAATGTCTCATAAGTGAAGCACGTCGACTGAAAAGGTTAACAGACGGTTCACTTCTAAATCTGGCCTGCATATTTGCCTAATCTACGAACCTTTGCTGCCAGTGCAAATTACTTCTGTGATGGCACCTTCTATTTTTTATAGATCTACCCTGATCTAATCTGCAAACTATACAAAACCACACATTCGCCGACAAGATGTTTTCTTTGATTCATGCCCTTGTTCTAGACAAGACATTCTGAAACAAGAAGACAGCACAAATCAACGTCCGTCACAAACCAACCCAAGTCGCCATTGATTTCCATCAAGAACGTGTTCCAATGTAAATGGAAGGGCTGTTTTTTTCCATTACCGTGAAGCAATATGTTGTGTTCAATTGTTTGCTGTTTAACAGCACACCCAGCAATATGCCAGCTATATCACGACTGTCTGTAAATAATCGACTCTGGACCAAACAGCATGAGCAAATCTGACTGTCAACGTTGAGAAGGAAATTCTTTATGATAACTTGACAAAAACAGTATATAATCCCAAGTTACATTAAAATTTACATTAAGATTTTAATTACATTTACGAATTTGTTTGTTGGAGGTGTTTGCTGTTGTTTGCAGCATTTCCAGTGAATGTTTGTATTTGTTTACATTTTCTTAATTCGGTACTTGTAACCCTAAATAAAACAGAATACATCCTCCTGGTGTATTCGGAATGAACAGAACACCGGCCAAAGTATTCGCCTTTTGGAATGTGTATTAAGTGCATTTTAGATTTTAATATATAGTTGACATGAAACTAATTAGTCATGTTGATAAACACAATCATTGTTATCATATTTGTGATTGAACACTAGTCTTGGGATTATTATGTATTGCATCTGACTCCAGCTAACTCACGGATTAATCCAGGTTTAATCACTTTTGAGACGACCCCCAGTAAACAATAATCGCATGTGCCGACCATGTCATATAATCCCCAACAGGTGCCGGCACAATGAGAATTAACCGTTCATGCAGGACGCATGTTTTATGTTCGTGTGGAATCATAACACTGGTGTTTCAATGTGAACAGCACACACATATTGAAGAGCTATCAAGTGTTCATAAAAGCATTATTGTTTAGGCAATGCCGAAACTTAAATATAAGTCAATGTCCACGTATGGTATGATGACAGTAGGATTGGCGGAAAACGAAGTTTCCCGACATTTTACTGTTTATCTATCCTTTTTGAGACGTGACCTGCAGGAGTGAGTGAGTTGAGGCTTACGCCGCACTCAGCAATATTTCAGCTATATGGCGGCGGTCTGTAAATAATCGAGTCTGGACCAGACAATCCAGTGATCAACATCATGAACATCGTTCTGCGCAATTGGGAACCGATGACATGTGCCAACCAAGCCAGCGAACCTGATCACCCGATCCCGTTAGTCGCCTCTTACGACAAGCATGGGTTACTGAAGGTACATTCTAAGGTACATTCTAACCCGGACCTTCACGGGTTACCTGCAGGACGGAAAGTCTAATGACGCTTAAGTCGTCCACATGTGCCATGTCAACTAGACAGCCATAATCGGTTGATGAATTTATGGAATGGACACCTAACTGACATATTAAAAGTGGTG